AAACGTTTTGCCTGATTTAAATATTAGAAATCTCAATGTTGCACGTTGCCATGAATGCGTGTGATGTGACTAGCTGATTCGAAATTCAACTGAGTTCGCGTTTGGATTGCTTTTCATCCATCTGATATGCAATACTTAAAAATCCTAGAGAAACAAGTGCATTGTTGTGCATTGTATTAGTACAGATATGTCTGGTGCACATATAACAATGCTTCAAAAGCCAGAACATATTCGAACGTACGAAGTAATCGATTGAAGTAGTACAATCGAGCATAACTATTACAGAAATTCCTTTGCGAAAGAAAGAACTCGAAGATGTTGGAGCTATGATTTTTCTATTCGTAACTTCATTCACGAGAAAATTTGTCACGTGCACTCTCGGCCAAGTGAACTAGTTCCCACGAAGTTTCGAACATTTTTCAGAAACGTAAATTTAATGAAAGCATTTTTAATTTCAATACTTAATTAATGGATAGTATAATGGCTAATCGAAATGGTACCTAATGTTCTCAGAGGAAATTTCAGCCCTTAATAATTTCGTATACTCGCTCGTTTTTCCTTCTATTTAATTCTCGATGAAACATTCAAGCAGTTAGAATGTTAGAATTTTCAAGGACTAATACGATCATACAATGAAACGAAACTTTTGAAACGATTCGGCGCTGCTGTCGATTCTTGTAATGAACTCTACTACAGCTGGTCAATGGCCTCGACACACAGATTATCGTCAGCGTAAGGATACGTCCGTTTCTACATTACTCGCAAAAAGTAGGCCAATAAGTACGCGGACCAGTTCCTTCGATCGTTCGAATAATATATATTTCTGTTGCAGTCACAGAATGCACAACGGAGATATCTTAAAGGATACCCTTTGGGGTCAGAGTGACTCAGCCTGTGAATTTATCGATCTTGTGTTGGTTTTACGAACCAATTTCAATTCGATCTGATTATGTTCCATTCCAATTAGATTATGTCTCTTCTCTCTCTCTCTTTACTTTCTTCTCTTACACAGACGTCTAAACGATGCCATTCTTTTTCTTCTTTTTTTTTTTTTTTTTTTTTTTATCTTTCACTTTCTTCTTTATTTCACAAAATCAATATCACTTTTACTTGCAGAAAGAACTTCAAAGGCTCCGTTTTTCGAAACAATTGGCTTCAAATATTTTTTTTTTTTTTACATGTAGATAGATATTTAAGTTAAATTAATATCTTTTTAGGACGTTTCGTCCCTGAGAAAATTCAATTTGATAATGATTTGTCAAATGTTCTTGAAACTAAGGACAGGAATATTCTCTCAAGCAAAATTAATATTCTCTCCTACTGATTATTAATTCCTGTCTATGTTTAAAATTAATGAAATTCATACTTGACAAATTTTCGAATTTTTTTAATTGCTAGTAACTCAAATTAACAATAACTAAGTTTATAAATATTAGTGAATTAAATTCGAGTTAAAAGACAAATGCAAAAACTGATGGGACAAGAAAGTACTAATCTGTTTGTAGATATAAAAATACAAAAATTATTGAAAATTCTTGACCTTTCAATAACCTTGAAATATATGACATGTATATTTTGTATATTTTTCGTTAGATTCTAGCTAAAATATTTACAATTGTTACCTAAACAACATATTCAAGATTAAAATTGGCAAGCAAACATATATCCCAATAATTGATAATTAATAATTAAAAACTGAAAAAATTAGCATTTATCTTCTTATCTTTATCTTTAATTGTATCTATATTTTTATTTTTATCTCTGTCTTACGATTCTTTTTTTTTTTTTTCAATACTCGAAGCAAGAGCTACTTATTGTAACATTATTTTAAATGTAAAATATCAAAATATTATGTACAATTTGCATTGCTTATTAACGTTTAATTCAGAGAAATTAAATTTTG